GCGCCCCTCCCGAAACCCTTTTCACGTGGCCTCCTGCCTAGCCAGGTCCACATCATGTTACGGTTTCCACATTTTTAAATGCCTTGGCATCGGCTCAGAGGTTTTACACCCTTCTGTTTTGCTCGCCGCTGAAGGCCTTTGGAGCCTGACACAGAACATCCAAGACCTTTGTGGTGGTCAACATTTTGCAAACGAGGTGCAGTGGTTGATATATTTACTCAGGAGCAAGTCCCTCTGCGCTTGGTGGAATTTGGCAGGGTTTCGTCCCACATGTGGGCCTCGGCTTGCAACCCACCTAACTGGCCGTTTCTTACCCTTTCAACTCAGCATCCCTCTGCTAGACTCCGGCATAAGGATGGGCAAAGCTCCCAGGTCCCAGAGGTGACCCCCACCCCAACCCCACCGGCTCCACATCTCAACCCGGACTGGGCTTGCCAGCTCCGGGGGTCTCTGCCTCTCTGAGACATCCAAGAGCTGTTCAAACAGGGTTGTGGAGCCTTTTAAAGTTGCACCCAGATATTCTGGTCTTCCTCTTCCCTCTCCCTCCTGCTTTCCTTTCATGCTGCACCTTTCCGGATTGCAAACTTATGGCTCGGGATTTTACGAAACGGGTGGCCAAGCCATTTGAAGGGCCCTTCCAGCTGCCGATAGGAGGATGATATAATGATGTGCCTCAGAGGGTGAGCCCTGTGGCAAGCATCGTGATCCTATCTCCAACTGCTAACGAGGGACAATCGTTTGTCTTCATGCAGAAAGACTCCTGGGAATAGGGTGGAGTTGTGGTCACCCATATCGTCTGCCCCAGAAATACTGAGCCGCAACAACGTTGGGAGTTTTTAAAAGGCTTTATTTTTTTAAAAGTCATTTAAAACATATGCTCTTGTTTTAGTTTGCTTTTAAACCACTGTCGAGGTGAAACAGCCTCGTCTCCTGCCCTTCCACCAGAGAAGCAGCTGCAAAATAGGTACCCTTGTAAAGGAAGCAGCACACACGAGCAAGGCTTAAAGCTGGCCCTTTTTCCACGGCCACCTTGCTGCTCTTTACCATTTTCAGTCACGCTTTACAGCAACACGAGAGCGACGGCCATGGAAACTCAACGAAAGAAACCAAACCAAACCAAGTTAAAAAAGAGGGGGGGGGGCTCCATCCGTTTGGGAAGTGCAATTAGAGCAAACCTACTGAAACTATGGGGGTTTGCAGAAGTGTCAGCAGCTGATTCCGTGGGTCTCCCCTCTGGCTGGGATGCCAGGCCAAGGAAAGAAAATGAACCACACTAAAGTGGGGGGGGGGAGGGGGGAGGAAAACACCTGAACTATTATGTAGGAGTGATTCAAAAACTTGGAAGTCCGAAAGTAAAACCTCAAAACCATGATGGGAAAACACACACATCCTTAACTCTGTAGCCGAAGACTTGTTAAGTACTTGTCGGTTGCCAAGAGCGGCTCCTCGTCAACAAATCACCGAGGGTCTCCCCACAGGCACGTTTGGATGTAAAGGGAACCCATCGGCGTAAGAGACAGAAGCACGGATGGTCTCCACGGCTTTCTCTGACCTGGTTTAGGAGAGTTTATTCTCATGTCACCACTGGGGACGAGACGTTTGCTCTAAAGCCCTATAGAGCCCCCACGGGAAGCTTCGCCCACCTCCCAAGCCAGGTCTTCTTGTCCACGTTTCAGGTACATGGATCCTGGTGTGTACACAAATGTGTCGTGATTCTTCGTGATTTAGGTGACCCCCCCTCCCAACAGATCTCCTTTGATTTGTAGTCCTGCCCAGAGCAAGGGGGGGTTGGACTTGATGGCCTTCGAGGCTCCTTCCGACTTCATGATCCTAGGAGTCTGAGACCAACTGGAGCTTGGTAGACGCACAACGTTCGGGGGTCTCTCTAAAGACCGAGAAAGTCACTTCTTATGAAGACTGGGTGGAAAAAAGATTCTGACCCCGGCCACCCCCCCCCCCCCACAAAAATGAGCTTCTCCAGGCAATATCCTGCTTACAAAGAGGAAGTATAAGGTTTCCAGGGACCTCAAAGATGAAATCACAGAAGCTGGACTTCATCCCATGATACTCGAAGGGGGGGGGCTTTATAGGTATGCAAAGAGCGAACGGGTCAGGCAGTCTTGAAGGAGGGTCAAGATGCAGAATAGCTGCCTGTTCGCTTTACATGCTTTCCCACGGACTGTCTACGGGTCTTTTAAAAAGTGTATCATCCAGGCTGCTCATTGGCATTACAAATGCCTCTTGGACAGAATGAAGGTGAAAAGGGTTTCAGGAGATGGGCATTTCTTTCTTGACTCCTCCGCTTGTATGTGGGGATGACAGACTGTGCCACGGGCCGGAACTGAACGATTTAACAATTTAAAACAAAACACGGAAGCCTTTAAGTTAAGACCACAGCCCATTGCGAAGCATGCTAAACGGACCCTTGTCTCCCCCTTGTGGCAAAAGCAAGACACGAACTCTAATGCCACGCTGGATCTTTCCCTGCTCTGTACAGGAGGAGGACCTAACCCAGAACGCAGGTGGCATGCTCACAACACCACGGGTGCATGCGTGCGTGCGTGCATGCGTGTGTGTGTGTGTGTGAGGAAAGGCCTCATGGAAAGGGTATATTTGTGTCTGGATGAGACCACATCAGGCTGTAAGTGGGGGCGTGAAGGACAGAATGCCTCTCATAGGGGAAAACTATTGATAGCCACGCTGGATCTTTCCCTGCTCTGTACAAGAGGACCTAACCCAGAATGCTGATGGCATGCTCACAACACCACGGGTGCATGTGTGTGTGTGTGTGTGTGTGTGTGTGTGTGTGTGAGGAAAGGCCTCACAGGTAGGGTATATTTGTGTCTGGATGAGACCACGTCAGACTGTAAGTGGGGGCGTGAAGGACGGAATGCCTCTCATAGGGGAAAACTACTGATTCCTCTGCTTGCTCAAGTTATTACATGTTTTGGACAAAGGCCGCTGGAATCATTCAGCCAGCACCGTGCTAGGATCCAGCACGACCAGGCACTCCCTCCCTCCCTCAAGACACACCCTTTTCTTTCCCAGGTACCGCAGCCAGCACCGTGCTAGGATCCAGCACGAGCAGGCATGCACTCTCTCCCTCCCTCCCTCCCTCCCTCGAGACACACCTTTTTCTTTCCCAGGTACCACAAGTGCTGCAAATAGATTCAGCCCAATATGGTCCTCTGAACATATGAAAGAGTTTTCACAGTCAGCCGATGGGGTAGCCAGCTGGCCTCTGGGCGCACGGTGCCCCTTCTGAGGGCAGGGGAAGGCTCCCCCGATACAACGCCCCCCTCACCTTCCCTCCTTGCCAACGGAAGGCACGCCAGAGACCGCGAGAAAGGTGGGCAGACAAATATCTTCCTCCTGCTTGGCCACTGGTTCCCCCATCAACCGGTTGTTGCTTTTGACACCAAGACATGGAGGCCAGTCTCACCTGAAGCCTGACGTGAGTAGCCCAGAAAGGTAATCAGGTGCTGGCAAAAACAAGGCAGTGCAGACATCCTGCAAACGGGCAAGGTGAAGACTGGAGAGGCACCCCAACGGTTTAGCCAGGTCAGGCCGCATGCAGGCCGGAGTCGTCAGAGGTGTGCGCTCAGCCTTCAGGAGAGGCACCCGCTGTGGGGCAGAGATGGCGACCGTTATGGCACCCAAGGCTTCTCGTCCAGATGAATTCCACCCCTTGAAGGTCCTTTAAAGTGTGGCCCTGAGGCGGGCTTTTCTGCTTCCTCTCCAGCCGAATCAGGGTGAGCACAACTGTTTCAGGATCCGGATGACATTCCTGGGAGCATCCGAACTCCACACCCGGTAGTCCTGGACCGGTTCCACCTAGGCAGCAAGAAAGGGCAGGTTAATTGCCTCGCAAGAGGGGACCAGTGGGGCAACCTGTTTTCATGGGAGGGCGTGGGAACAGCTTGCATTTTGAATCCCTTTGTGGTGTCATCCCAGGGCAATGGAAAGGCCGTCCTACGCAGGAGGGGCAGGATCTGTTCTCCATCATCCCAGAGTGCAGGACATGCAATAATGGGCTCAAGCGACAGGAAGCCAGATTCAGGCTGAATATCAGGGGGAAAACGACTTCTTAACGGTTAGAGCAGGACGACAATGGAACCCATGACCTCGGGAGGTAGTGAGCACTCCCAACGCTGGAGGCATTCAAGAAAAATTTAGACAATCCTCTGGCAGTTATCTTTTGGTTCCCAACGCTGCCTTCAGCACATGAGACACCACATGAGACACAGCATGAAAACATGGACGAGGCGCAATCGTGAAATGCCACACAAGGCCAAGGCAAAAATTCAAAGAAAGCGGTGTCTCGTCTGCACGAACAGTCATCACTAAGGCTAACGGCTTGCCTTGCCAAGGATCCACAGGTGGCTAGGCAGCTCAGTGAGATTATAACAGCAAATGATATACAGTGGGACTTCGGTTTACGAATTTAATGCGTTCTCCAGGACACTTCATATGGCGAAAAATTCGTAAACCAAAATGCGGTTTCCCCATAGGAACGCATGCATGGCGGCAGCGCTATAAACCTCCCAGGCACAATGCATCCTGGGGAAACCTGCTTCGTATGGCGAAAAAAAAATGTTAACCGAGGCATTATTTTCAATGAATTTTCCTTCGTAAACCAAAAATTACGTTAACCGAGGCGTTTGCAAACTGAGGTATGCCTGCATATACGAGCATGGTCCCTGGCTTCCTCTAACAGCCAGTTCTGGTAACTCCATTGTTTGATATATATATATTTGGGATTTTTAAGAAATATTTTAAATATTTTTAGACCATGAATCAGTGAATACTGACCCCTCAGATAACACTGATAAGTGTGTGTGTCTCTCTCTCTCTTGTGTGTGTGTGTGTGTGTGTGTGTGTGTGATGTATGGTATAATATATAAATTTTATATAAATATAAATGGTATATATATAGATTCATGATGCTTTATATATAAAGCTCCATGCATCCTGTGGGCCATGCCATGAGCACTGAGCCCGTCTTCTCCCCAGATTACTTACATGGGCCATGATGAATTTGTGCAATTTCTGCTTGGGCGCTGGAGGATATTCCTCTCCAAAACACAGACGGATCTGATACTGGGGTGGCGGCTCTCCATGGCTCAGGTAACCTCGTAACTCTAAGTGGCAGACAGGAAATGTCAGTTAGGATTAGCACATCTCTCTGTGTGGGGTGTGCAATCTAGACATGCTCCCTCTCTTTTTTTTTTCTTTTGGACGGCATCTCCCAGAATCCCCCAGGAGACATAGTACTCCTCCCCCCAAAAAAGCGAGAATTTTTTTTCTATAACCTTTGGCAGGGAGTTTCAAGCTGTTTGCATTTCCAGGCAGAAAATGAACTCATCAGCTTAATAAGAGATCATCTTTCACAAAGCCTGACACGCCTCCATAAAGTGGAGGAACTGAGCTTTCAGAAGAAGGAGCGCCGACAGCCTAAATAGACACACAGCACGCCGCACCCCCTCTTCCCTAAGAGCACCCATTGGGAAAGCATCTGGTTACCTACTTTACCTCAAAAGGTGGTGAGCCCTCCAACGCTGGAGGCCTTCAAGAGAAACTTAGACCCACACCTGGCAGATCTCCTTTGACTTGGATTTCTGCCTCGAGCAGGGGGTTGGACTGGATGGCCTTAGAGGCCCCTTCCAACTTCACTATTCTATGAGTCTATGATTCTATTTGGGAAACCAAGGCCCAGGGGCACTTATTGCTTCACCTTGAAAAGATCATCCTCATATAGTTCTGTTGACAGAGGAAAGAGGAGAAGACAAAACACAAAAGGGTGCACTTTGCTTATATTTATGGCCCGGAGAAACAGGAAGTCAGAGGAATATCTTTACCCAAATTATACTGCCACCTTACAAAACCTCTAGGTCTTGAAAAGATTTTGATGGCTCAGGTGGGGGCTCGACTTAAGTTTTTTAGGTCGTTCCATAAATTTCTGAACACACAACACATGGCCAAGACTGGCTAATTCCTCCTGCCCCTTGGCCAGGAAGGCTGTTTTATTTTGTAGCCATGATGAATTCCTTCATTCCTTATTAGTTTCAGTCGATGGGCATGTTGCTTTATTCCCTTTTGCAAAGGGGTTGGTTTCTGGGTGCTGGGGCCACTTCATGGCCACTGCACTTACACTTTTAAAAACGTATTGTTATTATTTAAAAGGTATATCAATGAATCGGTATTAGGCACTGCCACCACTGCCAGAAAGAACAACAACCCATGAATATATTGCTCAGAAGGAGACAGCCTTCCCCCCTCCTTTGCAGGTGAAAGAAGGCTTCAGATTTCCTGCTTTGAATTGTAAAGAAAGGAGCATTGCATTTATTTAACCTGGCTCTTCACAATGCTTTGCAAGTCTTTCAAAAATCAGGGAGGAGGGAAGGGAAAAGGGGAGGAGAAAAGAAGCCTCATGCTGCTGTATTTCCGTAACGGTATACCAGCTTTAGTAATATTTTTGAGGACAAGATACAGTACAGAAAATGTTCACAATACTTTGCAAGTCTTTCAAAAACCAAGGAGGAGGGAAGGGAAAAGGGGAAGAGGAAAGAAGCCTCATGCTGCTGTATTTCCGTAAGGATATACCAGCTTTAATATAAAATTTGTAAGGACAAGATACAGTACAGAAAATGAATCCATACAAAATTAGAGAGCGGCATAGCCTGCTATAACCGTTCAGTTAGAAAGGAATTAATTCCCGCAGTTAAAAACAATCTGAATGCTCCCCCTGAGGAAATAAATGTATCGGTACAATAGAGGTGTGGAAAGAATCGGTATAACTGGGGTTCTTTTGGCAGGTGTGATGAGGCCTGAAGTTACTGAGCAGAATCTGGTAACTTTCCACGCAGAATGGCAATGAAAAATGAGAGGAGGGACGAGACACGCAGCCTGCCCTTTGGAGCAATCTACGTGGAAAGTCTTAGCATGGTGAAAACAGCAGATAACAAGTTATATGGCCAATCATCGCTGCTAAGAGGCTCGGAGGGACAAGATCTGAAAATCTGTCTGGAGAACAAACGGAGAACAGGTTGAGTGTGACTGTGTCTCATTTCAGGTCTTCTTGGAGCCAAAGAATAACAGACCAAGCAGAGAGAGAGAGAGAGAGAGAGAGAAATGAGAGACTCACGTTGGAGGAACTGCTGGGTGTCCAGCAGCTTGTAAGTCTTCTCCCTCTCCAGTTTGTTGGGCTGGTCGCTGTCTGGTGCAAGAGGTCCCTTCCAGTAGACCCTGCCTTGGCATTGTCGCTTCACGAAGACCCCTTCCGGGGCCACCCAAAGGAGCACCCCCCGGTGCAAGTGAGGCAGCAGCTGCTCCAAGATGTGGACGGCGCCTCTCACCTGGCTGTTCCCAGCCAGGATGCCTGGAGAGGGCAACTGGATCTGCTCCACACCGCTCGGGCCGTAAAGGCGGGTGTTATCCGTGTGCACCGGAGACGAGGTGATCCTGCAGCCCTCTGCCGTGCTGGTGGTTACCTCCTTCACCAGCACATCGCAGTAAAAGAGGCGGATATGCAGCCAGCAATCTGCAGAGGAGGAGGAAGGGAAGGAAGAATGAGGATGCAAGTGTCTTGCCAACTATGGGGCACCCAGATGTACTGCAGGAGACCCATCTCTGAGGAGAATTGGTTCTAAGCCCCCCCCATGGGTGCTAAGAAAGCAGAACATTATTTTAATAGTGAATGCTGTAAACAGCATGATCTCTGGCTCCATCTAGTGGCAGTGTTGGTAATGATAGAGTGGAAATTACAGTATTTTTCCGTGTATAAGACTATACTTTTGTCTAAAATCTTTAGACTAAAAATTAAGGGTCGTCTTATACATGGAAGTAAGCTGAGGAGAGAACAAAAACAAGTGGAGGGGAAAGCAGGGATCAAAGCGATCCTGCAGCGCTTTGATCCCTTTCCCCCTACACTTGCTAAGCCCCACTTAGATTTCTTAATTTTGGATTAGAAAAGTGGGGGGCATTTTATACATGGGGCCGTCTTATAGATGGGGGCATCTTATACACAGAAAAATTTACGGTATTTCTCTAGTGAATGCTTTACATCAGCGTTCCCACACTTTTTTCGGACCACGGACCGGTTGAGGGGTATGGACTCCATGCGCGGACTGGTTTGGGGGCAGGGCACCCCCCGCACCCACGGGTGGGTGTGTCGGGATTGTGCACATGAGTGGCATGCCCCTCACACTTGTGCGTGACACGCCCACCTCTTGGGCGAGTCGGGGGGGAGAGCAGGCTTGCAAGGGAGAGCAGGTGGGCTGTCAGGGCTGTGCAGAACCCTTCACGCCTTGCCCCATTGCCCTGCGCTCTCAGCCGACAGAGCCCAGGAGAAATTCAAAAGACCTCCCCCCCCCCCGGGCTCCTGCCTCCTGCTGTGGGGTCTCTCCATGCTGCTGGCTTTCCAGCCGGGCTCCAGGAGACCGCACTGCCGTTTGCGCAGGCGCACAAGCATGCGTGCAGGTGCAAACAACCTTTGTGGGGGTGAGTGCGGGGCGGGGAGGTCTGTCTTGGCAGCCCCGTTGGGCTTAAGCCATGGACCGGCAATGGGCCGTGGCTGGGGGGTTGATGACCTCTGCTTTACATAGCATTGGCTCCCTCTAGTGGCTACTTCTGGTAACATCACCATTTAAAATATATATTTTTCTTTTAATATTTTCAGACCATGGATAAGTGAATCAGTGGATACTGATCCCACAGATAAGGGGGTACTACTGAAATATCCATGGATCTCCTTAAAAATTCCTGATTCTGCCGAGTTTTACAAGTGAAGAGCAGCCATCTTAGGCTGCTCTTCACGGGCAAGATCAAGTGTTCACACAGAGACCACGGATTTTCTTTTTTAGTGTCCCTACTAGACCCTCAATCTGATGGAATCCCCCAGCCACCCTATTCCAGCGGATGATCATGTGGCCTCTGGTCCCCAAAACAACTTTTCACCACTCTGTCCTGCAACCCCCACCCTCGGAGCATCAATGGGGTGGCCAGTAGTTTCTCCTAGGGAAAAAAGCTCCCTTTTTCCTCCCCTTGTTGCAGTTGTTTAGTCGTTTAAGTCGTGTCCGACTCTTCGTGACCCCCACGGACCAGAGCATGCCAGGCCCTCCTATCTTCCACTGCCTCCCGGAGTTGGGTCAAAGTCATGCTGGTTGCTTCGATGACCTTGTCCATCCATCTCCTCCTCTGTCGTCCCTTTCTTCTCCTCTTGCCTTCACACTTTTCCCAACATCAGGGTCTTTTCCAAGGAGTCTTCTCTTCTCATCAGATGGCCAAAGGATTGGAGCCTCCGCTTCAGGATCAGTCCTTCCTCCCCTTACCTGACATAATATTTTCGGCGTCCGTGTACTGGGAGCTGGGACCCACGAAGGGACGATTCCAATGGCGGCGAAACTGTGCTGGGTTCCAGCCGTAGAAAAAACCCTTCACCTGGCAGCCTGGGAAAGGCAGGAGAAGACACAGAGAGGTTTTAGGAGGACTTCTGGGAACTCTCTTGAATGACTCCAGTGTTGGAGCACTCACCACTTCTTGAGGTACTTGGTTCCACTGTCTTACTGCTCTAACAACTAGGAGGTTTTCCTGATATCCAACCAAAATCTGGCTTCTTATGACCTGAGACCATTGTTGTGTGTCCTGCACTCTGTGATGATTGAGAACAGGCCCTGCTTCTCGTCTGTATGACGGCCTTTCAAGTATTTGAAAATTGTTATCATATCACACCTCAGTCTTCTTTTCTCAAGGCTAAACATGCTAAGTTCTTTTAGTCTTTACTCAGAGGGCTTGGTTTCCAGCCCCTTGATCATCCTTGTTGCCCTCCTCTGAACTTGTTCCAATTTGTCAGCATCCTTCTTGAAGTGTGGTGTCCAGAACTCAACACAATACTTAAGGTGAGGCCTAATCTGTGCTGAAAAAAGGGAACTAACATTTTGTGGGATTTGGAAACTCTACTTCTGTTAATGCAGCCTAAAATCGCATTGGCCTTTTTTGCAGCCCCGTCACACAGTTGGCTCATATTTAGCTTGTGATCTCTGATGATTCCAGGATCCTTCTCACTTGCAGTATTGCTGAGCCAGGTATCCCCCATCTTGTAACTGTGTGTTTGGTTTCTTTTTCCGAGGCGCAGGACTTTGCGCCTGTTGAGTTTCATTCTGTTGTTTTCAGCCCAGTGCTCAGGCCTATCTAGATGGGCTCAAGTGACAGGAAGCCTAACTTCAGTTGAATATCAGGAGAAACATCCTAATTGTTAGAGCAGTACAACAACAGAACCCATGACTTCAACGGGAGGTGGTGAGCACTCCAACACTAGAGGCATTCAAGAGAAAATTGGATAAAATCCTGGCAGATATCCATTGATTTGTTCCTGCCTGGAGCAGGGGGGTTGAACAAATAAAAAATAAATAAAATAATTCAAGAGAAAATTGGATAACCACCTGGCAGATATCCATTGATTTGTTCCTGCCTTGAGCAGGGGGGTTGGATTCCATGGCCCTAGATACCCCTTCCAACTCCATTATTCTATAATTTCACCCATTGTATTTTTATCCTAACTTTTCCTATTGTGTACCACCTTGCACCCCTCCCCAGGAGAAAGTTGGTCCCTTCCAACTCCATTATTCTATAATTTCAGCCATTGTATTTTTATCCTAAATTTTCTTATTCATTGTGTGCCACCTTGCACCCCTCTCCAGGAGAAAGGTGGTCTAGAAATCTCTCTCTCTCTCTCTCTCTCTCTCACACACACACACACACACACAGAGAGAGAGAGAGAGAGAGAGAGAGAGAGAGAGAGAGAGACTGGTAGGGGAATGCTGAGACTTGCAGTCAAGAAAGCCACTCCGCTAGGCCCTGTTCAGGCCCACACAGAGCATTTTTCAGCTGCAAGGGCAGAGAACCCCTCACTTGCCTGGCTCCCTTCCTCCTCACCTTGGTGCTCAGCATGGTTTGGCATCTGAGAGGCTTGAGATCCCAACGTAGAAGTCACCGGGGAAATTCCCACTGGTTCCTCCTTGCTTTCCTGGCCTGAACCTGAGGGCTGCCCAGCCTGCAAAAAAAGAGAAAAGGAAAGGAAAGGAAAGACAGCGGATTAAGATCCAGAAGGAGCGAAGCGCCGTGTTACCCAGGACTGGAAATGGATGATGCTATCCGCTTCAGCCTTTGCTCAGGAAAAAGACTGTAGGGAGAGACTGCCATTGTTGGACTCAGGCAACATCCCTTTTCAGTTGATTAAGTGCCACCACATTCCCACAACCCATATGATCGGGACATTTTTCTAAGCTGATGCTAGCCAAGAAAGAAACCAGGTCTTAACGGTCACTGCACAACCCTAACTGACATAACTAACATGCACAATTTAAAAAATAAATAGTAAAGACGGAATATGAGCGTGCCCCTCTTGACGGTCATTCCCAACTGCCCCCCCGGCTGCTGTTTTCATTGGGGGGGTCATTGTTTCTGAGAAGAAATATGCTGGAAGCTCACTTCCTGGCACAAAGAGCAGCTGCTTTGGGTCCCTTGGGGGAGAAAGGAGGAGGAGGGATATTTTAAATAAATAAATAAATAAAAGCTTCTGAGAAACTTCAGCAGAAAGAAGAGTTAAATAATCCCCCCCTCCCCAGTCCCAATGGCGGCACAGCTGCACCCCCACCCCACCCGCTTGCTTGTATTAATTTCATGGTTTAATCTATGCAAGTTAATTGCAATTCACCATGGTGGCAGAGCTGCACCCCCCACCCCACCCGCTTGCTTGTACTAATTTCATGCTTTAATCTATGCAAGTTAATTGCATTCATGCCCTAATCACATCCATTGTGGCTCATCGGAATCCGTAGGGCTTGAACCTCTTGAACGATATCGTAATTGATTGATTACGGGAGTTTGAACTGACCAATCGATTCACCTGTCGGTTAAATTGGAAAGCAGCTGTATAAGGATAGACAAACAATGTTTTTCAAAGGAAAAAAAATCTGTGCTTTAGATCACACGTATTTGTGTCATTTCAAGGTTACTCTTTAGAAGAGGCTTCGTCTCCCACCCGAGACATAAACTGGGGATATCACTTTTAAGATAGTGCAGTCGTTTTTATTCCCATCTATATCTATAAATATGAGTTTTCTAACGATGACTTAGTCTTGTTTCTTAAAACCATGCATATAAAGAGAAAAGGGAAACATCATTAATGCCAAATAAAATGTTTAAGTCTTAAATCCGTCACTAAACACTTTATTACACTTAATTAGGGCCACTCATTTGATTGATCGTGATCTAGATATCTCTAATAACCAGCTGAGTGAGTTGAATGGGGTTTACTCTCAGAGACACAGATTTGCAATTTCTATGTTTCAAGGCAGAGGTTGAGCTGATTTGTGTTTTTAGGAGACCAGCTCTCCGAATTCTCCCTGCATAAAACATCTCACAAGGTTTGCTGGAAGAGCCAGCAGAAACCTTCCAAACCCTTAACCACATCCTGACCTGCAGGATGGAAACCAACCCAACCCTTTCTAGAAAGCCTGATCTTTATCTCAGCATTAAAAAAAAATCCATCATCAGGATCTCCCTCTCGCCTCGTGGCTCTCTTTTAGCAACCTGAGCCGACAGCTATAAAGGAGCTGAAACCTCCTACCTTGGCCACATCCAGGGAAACGGTGGCTCAGGGGTTGGCTTGGGTACCAACTCCCGGGCCCTGGCTCTTTGGCTGAGCGCTCCAACCACCGAGCTGCTCCAGCCTGTGTGCATGACTTGGGCCCTTACCGTCTCTGCTTTACCCTCGGCTATCTTCTCTTGAGGTGCAGATGTTGAGGGTCGGTTGGACTCCGCCTGGGGCTCTTTGGTGTTTTCCTTATCTGAAAACAGAAATGGCAAAACAACCTTCACAACAGGGGTAGAGAGACACTCGCTGTGGGTGTCTACCTACCCAGCCTCCCGCTCCCCATACTTGGCAAGCAAAGCAGAACAAAGCAAAGCAAAAGCAAAGGCTGCTGCTTATATACTGCCCCATAGTGTGTAAAGCACTCTCTGGGCAGTTTGCAATTTATTTATGCAAGCTATACGTCACTCCCCCTCCCCAGCAAGCCGGGTACTCAAGGGACCAACTTCGGAAGGATGGCAGGCTGAGTGAACCTCGAGCCAGCTCCTTGGGATTGAACCCAGGTTCGTGAGCAGAGTTTTGGCTGCAGTACTGCAGTTCAATGACTGCACCATGAGGCTCTTAACTCATACCTACTCACCAACATCCATTTTTAAAAAGAGAGACTCTTTTGAACCTAGAGCAGATCCAAAGTCGCCTTTAAATGCATGCCTTGGAGGCTTCTCGGAGCCAAATGTGCCATTTGGGGGCAACCACCCCAACCCTTTATAACTAAGTAGCCTCCCCCTGAACACTATTACACCTTTAGCCATTGTGACCAGATAGCAGAAATGGCACAACACCTCCCCTCTCTCTGGAACGCCACCCATTTTCCAATGCCCTGCTCTCCGACTGCTCTGGTGTCCCCCATACCGCAAGACTCCCACATCCGTGGGGGATCAGTTCCATGATCTACGATGGATGCCTGAAACCGCGGATATGAGGGAACCTTATATATAACCTAGAAGGGGGCAGGACAAAAAACACAAGGGGGCACCCTTTTATGGCAAACCATGGATAAGTGAAACCATGAATATCGATCCTCTGGATAAAGGAGCCCTGCTTTATTTTTTAAATTCAAATTGTAAGTCCCTCAACCAGCTTTACTCTTAAGAAGTAAAGAACAGCAGCCTTGCACATAATTAGGAAGTTACTATTATGGGATTTGTAAGAGGAAACGCATATACAGTGGTGCCCCGCATAACAAGCGATTCATTTAGCGATGAATCCGCATAGCGATGTGTTTTTTGCAATCGCAAAAGTGATCGCATTGCGATGTTTCTAATGGTAAAACATCACTTCGCGATGATCTTTTCGCATAGCGATGGTTTTTTAACAGCTGATCGGCAGTTCCAAAATGGCCACCGGGTTCCTATGGGCTTTTTTTGCCCCGCATTGCGACGAATCCACATAGCGACAATTTTTTCGGAACGGATTATCATTGCTATGCGGGGCACCACTGTACCTTTTAAAATATACGATGAAGGATTTCTGCCATTCTTTTTCAAAATCAGCTACATAACCATGGTTCTTAAGCATCAGACTCTCTAATGGTCATTTTTCCCAGCTGTCTTCATTTATGCTCCTTCTGACTACGATCTGTCCCTATAACCTGTTCCACGAATGCTTCTTTTCAAAGTGAGTTTGATTACTGCAACTTTTTTTTTAAAAAAATGCTTCAGCTCTTTTAGTGTTTCATTTTGACCGCTGTTTCCTGACTACGGGTCAGTGTATCACTGAGCTAGTTTTCCTTTGCAAACGGAAGAACCTGGCACTGTAGGCGCAGTAAAGGGTTACAAAAGTAAGCCAAAACCACAGGCCTTCTGGCTGAGCACCTGGGCGGAATCAAGGGCTCAGCTGGAATTGACCGCCAGTTTATAGTCACTTTCTGTGACGGTGGGTGACATTGACTCGTTCCTAGTGCTCATTGTGCCATGCCCTTGTAAGCTGGAAAAGTCAGAGATTACTTTTTAAAGCTATATCCAGCTAAAACTATATCCACCTCTTTTTCATATTTATCTATTTCATATATCCCCATCCATGACTTTAAATCGTGCAATGCTCTAACGGGAATAAAAAGGAAGAAAGAAGGCAGAAGGGAAAAAAATAATCGCAACAGGCGAATTTATTAGTGTCACATTCTCAATTTGGACCCTTATGCCAGGCTCAGGTTCCAAACGCAGCCTTGGAAAAGCAAATCCAGGGGGGGAAAAAAAGAGCAGAGTCCTCTTTATGGGCAAAGGCTTTCATGTTTGGGAGCCAAGGATCCCAGGATCATAAAAGTGAAAGGATGGAAGCTGGCCTAAGGTCACCAAGCTCAGCTCCCTCCAGAAGCAGGAAAGCCATGCCCGATGCACCCATGACAGAAGGCCACCCATCCCTATTTAATGACAGTGAGATCATAGACACAGACACAGACACACACAAACCGAAGCCCTTGGACTTACTGCCAAGGAGTTCCTGCTGCCTGGAAATTCTTCCTGCTGTTTGGACACAATCTCCTTCCTTACAAATCAAATCCATGACTTTGGGCTCTACAGCCACCAAAGAAGACTACCTGGCTCCATCTTCTACACCAGTGGTCCCCAACCATGGGCATCCAGATGTTCTTGGACTACAACTCCCAGAAGCCTTCACTGTCACCACCTCTGCGGGCCAGGATTTCTGGGAGTTGGAAGTCCAAGAACATCTGGAGGCCCAAGGTTGGGGGACCACTGTTCTACACGACAGCCCTTCAAGCATGGGAAGACAGCCCACTGCATCATCACCCCTCAAATCTTCTCTTCTCTGGACCGACCAGAGCAAACAGGATGCTTAGCTGGAAGGCATTCTGATCCCTCCCAGCTTTAGATAAACTGGCAGATAGAGTGGAAGGAATGTTGAAAGGGGAAAACAAGGGGAGAAATGGCCTTGCCAGCAGAACCATAGCAGCAGAATCCAAATCTGAACCTAGAATCCACTCAACGCCAGAATAGGTCCTTTAAAGCAGCCATTCTTAACCTTTTTTTGGCCACGGCCCTAAACATTAATGAAGGAAATACACACCAAATCAGGGCTCTCTAGGTCACATAATGAACCTTAGAAGATGAGTGGTTTCCAGTCTGTGCCCCCCCCTTCAAAGGTGCCAGGGTTCCCCCCCCCGGGGGGGATATACGGCTGCTTTAAAGTAGTGGCTACTGCCAAATGTCATGCCTTTAAATCCCTTCCCCCCCCCCCCACAGTCAACATCCTGTTCCCAAGTACGTCCATGGCATACATACCCCAAACCTGTGCCCTGTACGTTCGATGTATTGGAAGACGCAAGAAGTGCCCTCATAAAAACCTCACACCATTAACAACTGTGTTAACCTCAGAGGTGCTGCAGGACATTTTTGCTGTGTTGCTGCAACAGATTTAACACAGCTTTGCCAACTGGAGACGGACCAGCTGCAGGTATGGGTACACTTTGCTAGGTGCCAGGCTGTGTTGGTTGGTGCAAGCGTTTACAGATAAAAACAAAATCAAAGTAAGAAAAGACAAAAACACAGCGGCACCTTAGAGACTAGCTTCTATATATATTTTTTAATGTGACCTTTCGTGGATGACAAAATTATGTCTGATGAAGTGGATTTGTCCAGGGAAGCTCACATTAAAGGATATTAAAGTCCTTAAGATGCCACCACGTTTTTGACTTTTTTTGTCTATATATATATATATATATAGACAAGGGTGGACATTTCCCCTTAATCTGTGCTCTGTCTGGCTCTTTCTCTTCTCTTACTTTCATTATAGATAAAAACAATATATATAAGAAGAGAAAGAGCCAGACAGAGCACAGATTAAGGGGAAATGTCCACCCTTGTCTGGAAATTCTAAAAAATTCTAAAAAATTCAACTTTCCAAGCTAACGGAGGGAGGAAGGGTGGGGGAGAGAGGAGTCTGTAGGTGGCTGTTGGGGGCCATGTACGCGCAGATGATTTGGTGGGAGAACTAGCAAGAAGGGTGCCCATTGTGTTTTGTCCCAAGAGGGAGAACCTCTCCTCCCCGCCCACCCAACCCCAGTCTGGGACATCCCCCCCCAAGGGCCTGAGAGCGTACCTGTTTCCGGCGAGGAGGGATGCTCGGAGACAATCCGATAGACTTTGTAGGGCTCGGAGGTGTCCAGGTGGCTCCGTTCGGGGACCTCCTTGAAGTCGCTGCTTTTGTTCAAGGCACAGCGCAGGCGGGTCTTCCAGACGGAGGGCTTGTCCTGCCCTGCCTCGTACCTGCCTTTATAGACGGCCCAGGCCTGCAAAAAGAAAAGGGCGGTTCGGGGAGGGGGCGGTGATGGAAGGAGCCCCCCCCCCCGGGAACCTGAACCGGGCACAAATTCTTCCTCCGGCCTCCCAAGTCCCACCTGGGAAGCGGCCGTCCGTCCCCACCACCACCAGGTGTAGCTTTCCAAGCTCCGCAAAACATTGACATCCAACATCATCCAATCCCCGCGGATCTGGGCCACGCATCGCAGCCTTGAGGGGTGGTGGTTCTGCCCCCCCCGGCCCTTGATGCACAGCCGCCTCCGAGGAGATGATTCATCCTCGCAAGCTCCCCCTTTGCTTTTTGCGCGCTCTGTTTTGGTTTTCTCTCCTTCACGGCCGATGAAAAGCATCTTCTCCCTGGTCCTCCTGTCGGGGGGGGGGCACGGCGGAGTTCCCAACCACCCCCACCCCGGGCGAGGGGCGAGGGGGCGCCCCCTGGCG